ACAGTAATTAGAAAAAAAAAAAAAAAGGAGTTAAGCTTGGATATATAGTCACTGGAATCATGAACACTCAAAATGAATGGCAATACAAGTCTCATTTTACCAGTCCGTCTTTACACCTTTATCTGATACCATGTTGAATTGGTGAGGAATGATATAGAATGAATAGAGAACAAAAAGCCGGAAACAAATTTCTAATTGATTAGAATGATATTCACACGATTACAAATGAAGTTCAGCCCTATTTATGCAAAGCAACAACTACCAAAACTGAATGGAAACTGTGAAAAGACATAAATACCCTTCACACTATTTTACATTTCAACATGTAATGTGTGGAATTCTACCATATTAATGAAATCGTATCAAGACGGTCAGTCACATAAGCAACATTGTTAGACACCTTAATAATAACGAATACTTTAAGAGTAAATTAAACTAACTGTGTAACTTTAGTAAAAAAAAATTGTGACTAAAATGACATAATTTGAGTCTGGTGAGCAAGGGAGTTTTTATTTTATTAGATTCTGGTTAACATTCGGGCATGCATGCATTGCATTTTGACTTCAGCGCATGTTAAATGGCGGTGTTTCGAGAATTTCTTTATTGGTATAATTTCTCTATCTCTAATGGCGTCGCCACTGTATTTTTGCGCGAATTTCGTTTAGAATCGATGTCAATTGATCGATCATTATCTCCTACGAGTTGACTCACGCAATCACTTATCACATGCGCACTTTCATCAGTGCTTTTCATTTTATTTATTCTTTAATCATTCAATGGATCTCTCTTCCTGCCCAATAAACGAATTTGCACCTTTATTTTTATTTTGCGCGTTAATATCCGATTCTTGATTAAATGGCCTAATATTTATTTTACAAAAAGTTGTTGGATCATTAGTAATATAATTTGGGTTATTCTTACTCCAAATAATTGAATATTTGGCATTTTTTTTTCTTCATTTAAGAACTTAATTCATCACAAGAACTTTAATAGGCTGATAAGATCACAATTTGGAGCGAAATTAAGGGTTTCTTCCAGGTGGGTTGATCTGATCTCGAAGCTTCATTAATTGTAGCTACATTACGGTGAATTCGATTAATGAGGGCATATGTTGTTGGTGAAATTCTAAAGGGATAGATTATTGGAGGCAAATATAGCATTTGATGGGGAATAATTGCGTAGGTCCCAATCTGGGAAAACATGGCTTCTTGCAGTCTGTCACCGCTGCAGTCTGGAAAACCCGGGAGCCGGAAATGCTACCGGCACCCAATCAGCAGCAAGAAGGAAATAGTAGTAACGAGAAGAATTTAGAGGGTAAAGGTTCTGGTTCTACCACCGCGCCTACACAGCCAATAATTGCCGGTGAGCAGGCCAAACCAGATCCCCAAAAGGAGGCGGGGCAAGGTAACAAGCCAAATCACTTTAAGAGATTATCAAGTGTAGGCCTACAAGTTGAATCAGTTTTGCAGCGAAAAACAGGGAATTTGAAGGAGATATATTCACTGGGAAGGAAGTTAGGACAAGGGCAATTTGGGACAACATTCTTATGTGTGGAGAAAGAAACTGGAAAAGAATTTGCGTGCAAATCAATTGCTAAGAGGAAATTGGTTAGTGAGGAGGATGTCGAGGATGTAAGAAGAGAGATTCAGATAATGCACCACTTAGCAGGGCACCCGAATGTGATATCCATTGTGGGAGCTTACGAAGATGCAGTTGCAGTTCATGTCATAATGGAACTCTGTGCGGGTGGGGAGCTTTTTGATAGGATCATACAGAGGGGACATTACACGGAAAGGAAGGCGGCGGAGCTTGCTCGGATAATAGTCGGTGTTGTAGAGGCATGTCATTCCTTAGGGGTTATGCATAGAGACTTGAAACCAGAGAATTTCCTTTTTGTTAACGAGCAAGAGGAGTCACCACTTAAAACCATTGACTTTGGCCTCTCAATGTTCTTCAAGCCAGGTACCCATATACGTTAGCATTTATTTGATTATATCGAACATGATCAAAGAAATGGAACTTGGAAGTATTCACAGTGAAGTGTTCTATGAACTTGGATTTTGATCCTATGTGCTTGTTCATTTGTATGAATTAGAATAACTGAACAGACAAAAGTTGCAGAAAGTATGAAGCTTTTTTAAGTTTAACTCTCATTGAAATCTATGATTATGTCTATGTAGTTTGAGGGTTATCTAGGAATGCCTACTCTACCTCTCTAATTGAGATCACAACTATCAACCTGACCTTTTGGAGTTGCAACCTTATCTTTTTGGGAAGTGGCAAGCCTTTGGTAATGGATTGGAGAGGGAGGTGACTTTATCTTAAGACCTCCAAGTTTTGGTCTCAACCTTATTTCATGCATCCTTGTGTAAAAAGTATTGTTTTAAATTGTAAATAGGCATCTCCTCCTGGTTGGAGCCTTTTCTCTCTATGGTTCGTTAATTTTGATTTATTACAAATGGATTTCAAATCTTAGTTTAAATAAATTAATATTTTCGAGTTGTTAAATCAATTTGAGTTGCATATTCGGTTTTGGTAAGTGGAAGCAGCAAAGCAATTGCATTTTCTCTATGCATTTATATACTCAATAAATAAGTAACCGTTAATGAATTACTATCCTGCTGTTATTATACTTTCAAGTTACTTAAAGCCTCTGATTCCACAGAGTGGTTCTTTGTTCCTTTCTTCTCATTCTACTGATATTTCTGAAGCAGGGATAGGATATTGAATATTATGTCCATTTTGTGGTCAACATGTCACAATCTTGCAACCTGGTGACATGAGCTATTCATGGTTCCGTATTCTCTACATCATATGTATGACAACTAGAGTAATTATCCAGTTAAGAATTTGGAAACAAAGCACTGGGAAAGGACTGTTGATAATTGCTGGAGCGCTGAAGTCTCGTCGTTTGGCTTTCTTTGGATTTTGCCTTAGGTCCTTTTTCCCCTTAGGCTGAATTCCTTTCTGACACAAAGATATACTTAAAGCCTGGGGAGATTTATGTTTCTATAAAAGTTTAGTGAGCAAAGGTATTATTTCTTAGCAATTCAAAAGATAAGAAGCTCATGTAAGGTTGGCTGGTTATATATACATTAAACATCTATCTCAAAACAAATCTTAAAGCTAATTGGCAGGGGGAAGAATGCTGTCCAGGCTCATAACTGGCTTCAAGGTGATGGTATATTGTCGTGGGACAAGATCTAACAATTTCCTATGTGAGCAACGTGCACTTGCATGTAGCGAGGTAAACAAACAAGGTGAAACTGCAATATTTCTAAGCTGTAACCATAGCACAAACCAATAATAAGTCATGTAGAATGATGTTTTACATCTGTGACACGAAGCATAAACCTCAACACAAATCAATAAAATTGGAAAAAAATATGAAAAAACACAAATATATATATTCATACTAGACAATTGACGATATTTAAAATTCGTAAAACCAATTTACAAAATTAAATTAATTTAAAAGAAACATAAAATTGGTCAATAAATTAAGTAAATAATAAATCATGAAATTAGTAATCATATAACAAATTTTAATCTATGAGCGGAAAAAGCTTAAGAAGTCTCCTGTGTACTTAATGCTAATATGATCTTTTAAGAGAATTATCAGCATATCTGATTCTCCTATCATCCACCTCTTTACTAATAACATTATTCCATCCTTTTTCCTCATTCTCTACTTGTCATTGAGAAGTTGCAACTTAACTTGGGAGAGGGCTTTATTTCACTTCAATTCTAGGAGGCTAGAGCACATTGCTTCACTTCCTCTTTTCTCCAAATTTTCTCTCATTTTCCGGTTTGGGTCGTGTTTATAACGGCCTAAGAATCGTTAAAGCATTCTAGGCACTAGAAAAAACAGCCCACAAAGGTTAGGCCAGTAATGAGAAGCCAAGGAAGACAAGATAAACAAGCTCACGTCACAGCAAGTTGAGGTATAAGCCTTGACAAATAGAGCCGATGGCATAAGTTTCAATGCATACAATTAAAGTCTCATATGAGGTAGTCCTTAAGGCATAATCCCAAGTGCTCTTTGAAAAAAATGACACAAACAAAGGCCGCAAACTGTAAATTGATTAGACTTCATTCATACTTCCTTAACCAGTTGAAAACTAAAACATCCATCTCAAGACCATTGGCAAGTGGTCTCGGCCCATAACTAGTTTAGGAGGTGATACTTTACCATGAGAAACAAACTGGAACATTCTTCATTTACACTAGTCTTGTAATGACCTAAACTTCATGTCTAAACTATTATATCATAAGTATTATTCATCTTGGGAAGCCACTATCTCTTACCCCTCACGGATTTTCACCATGTCCTCAGGATTAGAACCCAAGACCAGAGGCCTTATGAGATACTTAAGTTGAATCTTAGTATCAATTGGGTAATTCAACTTAGGTCTCTGATAAAGCGAATGTCTAAGGTTTGAATTTTGGGGGACGTGACGAAAATTCGTGAGGGACTAAGAAGGCATATGCTCTCTTAAAGTAGATAGTTTGGGCATGGCTTCTAGATCATTACAAAAAACGCGAGCGTAACAACTCGAGCCTCGTTCTCAAGCCGTTATATCATATGTATTTACATGAACATTCTTCATTTACACTAGTCTTGTAATGACCTATACTTCAAGTCTAAACTATTATATCATAAGTATTATTCATCTTGGGAAGCCACTATCTCTTACCCCTCACGGATTTTCACCATGTCCTCAGGATTAGAACCCAAGACCAGAGGCCTTATGAGAGACTTAAGTTGAATCCTAGTATCAATTGGGTAATTCAACTTAGGTCTCTGATAAAGCGAATGTCTAAGGTTTGAATTTTGGGGGACGTGATGAAAATTCGTGAGGGACTAAGAAGGCATATGCTCTCTTAAAGTAGATAGTTTGGGCATGGCTTCTAGATCATTACAAAAAACGCGAGCGTAACAACTCGAGCCTCGTTCTCAAGCCGTTATATCATATGTATTATCATTTTTGGAGAGTTTGAGTCTATCTTATTTCTCACGAATTTCTATCACGACCTTCAAAACTCGAATTCATGAACTCTTCCTTAAGAGAGACTTAAGTTGAATCTTGATACTTATTGACATATTCTATAACGATCCAAACCTCTACTCCTAATCTGTTAATTTATGTACTGTCCAATTTAAGAGAGCATAAACCTATCTTCTCTAAAATGGCTTTTCTGTCGCGTCCCCCAGGATCTGTGTGTGGTAAGAGGGTAGATATCCTCTTAAAGTGGATAATACATATGATATAACGGCTTGAGCATAACGCCCAGATTGTTACAAGTCTCATACAGGCACTAATCTTTCTGGAAATAATTCCAATTCTTTCTAAAATATAAAATTCATCTTAATTTTTTCTCATACTGGTCAATGCTTGAGCTCGGTCAACTACTTTTCAACTGTCGTGTCCATAATTGATCATGCATTTCACAATATCTTAGAGATATTTAGATAGTAAATTTCTATATATTAAAGAAAAGGGATATATGTTTTTGAGTATCGTAAATACCGTCATATCCTGTATACAAGTTGCTGATTTAGAAACTAGTGAATATGACATGAAGCTGATCTGCTAGAGCCACAGTCACTCCTATGTTGTTTACCATCATCCAATGATGATTTAGAAAATATTTTAATGTGCCTGTACTCTTCTCTCAAAACATTGGAAGAACGTCCGATGCCAAAGTCACTGAATGGATAAGTCGCCAATCCCTGGACTATGTAATCCGCTGGGTTACGGGCGGACATTTTACCAGAGGTTATTGCATTGTTTCACACACTGCATCCCTTCTAAAAATTGCGAAAATTATGAATTTTTCGTTTCAGATAAGTGGAAAAACAAAGCACAAGTTTTGTGTATTGGCAATCCGCCTGCCAAATCCTCTGTGGTTTTCAAAGTTCGAGTCAAAAGTTTTTGGAATATGATTGGAGTCATCGTAACCTTTGTTCTACTTCTTATTAGGAATTATTCAAAATGTTGAATCAATGTTTCCATCCTTCATATTTACATCTTTTTTTTTTTTTTTCAGGTGAAACATTCAGTGACGTGGTTGGAAGCCCTTATTATGTAGCTCCAGAGGTGTTAAAAAAGCACTATGGTCAAGAATGTGATGTTTGGAGTGCTGGAGTCATTATATACATTTTGCTAAGTGGAGTGCCTCCTTTTTGGGATGGTGAGCATTCATTTTGATCTTTGTTGTTTTCTTGCTTCATTTTCGTATGCCTGAATCTACTCACTTAGACCCTATTTTCTTGCATGGAAATATGTGTTGGATCAGAAACGGAACAAGGAATATTTGAACAGGTTTTGAAAGGAGAACTTGACTTTGTATCAGAGCCTTGGCCTAATATATCCGATAATGCGAAAGATCTTGTCAGAAGAATGCTTGTTCGAGATCCTAAAATGCGGTTGACTGCACATCAAGTTCTTTGTGAGTATGCTATATACCAAACCAAATCCTTTAAGTCTCTGGGAGTCAGCCATGTTCTTTTGCCAGTTTGTTATGCAGTACTAACATGTTTGGTAAGGTGGATTTGACAATATTTGATTGTATTAAAGAAGAAAAAGAAGCTAAAATCTTTTCTATTTTAATGTCCAATATAATCTAATTTTACATACCAAACATGTACTATATGTAGTACATGAGAAGTGATGCTTCATCCCACCATCGACTTATATAACTTGACTTGCTATGGAAAGATGATAATGCATTTTTTGGAGCTTATATATATGGTACATCAAATTTCTTCGTTTTGCCGCAGAATCAGAACATCAATGTTTCTTCACCTTCCAGTAGAATTAACACATTTTTCATTGGATAAGTATACCCAAACACAATGAAAATTAGGAACTTTTTGATCAAGTGTAGAAGGGAAATAATGCCTTAGCCTTTTGATGCAGCTGTAAGAGATAGCATATGATAGGGGATACTGTTTGAGCATGGTATGGCCGGGTCCAATGAAAAATTACTTTTTTCCTTGCGATCGAAGATGAATTAGTGCATAAAATATTCCAAATTGGGGATTTTTGCAAGTTAGTGATTTGGAGCTTCTTTTACAACCTTATAGCATTGTTATTTCTCGAATTGTTTTGAGTAATACAATTAAAAAATTGTTACACCTCGATATGGGATAAAACGCTGCAGAGAGTATTAATTTTGTTGGTCCTTGTCTGTTTTGTGGCCTTTAAAACTCTGGACAAAAAATCACCACCTGCTTCTTTCTTCTAGGAAAAAAAAAAAAGTAGGAATTAGCTATGGCTCAACAATTCTTTCTCAGATGGTGAAGATGAAAAAAATCCATAAAAATTTGTTTAAGTGATGATCAGAAGTCTAGTTTTACAAAATGTTGAAGCAGTCACGAGGCTTACGATTTCTGGAGTGCAAAGAACACACTAAAATTGTAGATAAGGTAAAGTTCAAGCCACAATTTTTTACTCAATCAACTTGAGAACGAGGTGGTTTATATATGACACATGTAATCATGGAATGCTTAGTGTATATATCCTGTGTTTAATAACTTAATAACCGAGTTATACAGGACTAAAGAAATACAGGCAGTACATAGGTGGTTGTTAAGTAAAATTGCACAAATAACCAGTAGCACAGTTGATAGAGCTTATGACCAGATGTGAATCTATAGTTTATGAAGCTTAAGAAAAACAAAATTCACAGCCCAATTGCACAACTTGTGCAGCCATTTATGTTCTTCTGGAGTCAAGCTTTGCACATCTGAATGACAACTATGGTTATAATGTGTGCAGGCCATCCATGGGTCCAAGTCGATGGTGTTGCTCCAGATAAGCCTCTTGATTCTGCTGTGCTAACTCGTCTGAAGCAGTTTTCTGCCATGAATAGACTCAAAAAGATAGCTGTTAGAGTAAGTTAATTCAGCCCTTCAAACTTTTCACAATGTAACTGCATGAGTTACTTATTTTAAAGTAATTTCTACTTACTTTTAAAATAAGTAATCTTTTTTATTTATAAGGGAATAAAAAAATCTGAATTCTGGTTTCATTTTATAATGCAAGAATGCTACTGATTTCATGTCACCTAGCTCTACTCGAGAATACAGTTTTATATGCAAGAACAAGGAGCGATTTTATTTCTTCGAGTAAAGAGCTCCGCAAGTCTAATAGTAATTTGTACCATTCTCATTGTTCTCATATCAAATCTCATCAATCAAATCACTGTTTCAAGAAATACACGAGATTTTAGTCATACAAGTAGTAAATATATTCATTGATAAGAGAGAGTGTTGAAGACAAGATAAAAATGGTATACATGTAACCCTCTCTAACAAATTAAGTTTTTAGATACACTGGTTCAATATGGTACCAGAGCAAGCAAAGATCTTAGGTTCAAGAGCCGCTGCTATCGGTTTAATGAAATTGTACTCTTGTAAGGATTTGATAGGAAAATATGAACTTTGCCTACGATATAGGTGGTTTTTTGAAGCAAGATTTAGATGATATACACGTGGGCCTCTTTAACAGTTTAAGCTTTAGAGCAAGTGGTTCAACGAAAAGAAAAAGTGAACACGACTAGCTGAATTGCCATATGAAATTGAGCACGATTTGCAAAGAAATAGCCCGTTTGTGCTTTCATTTTACTTATATTTCCTCCATGAAACTTTTATTCTTAAACTGGATGTAGCATTCAAGAACATTTATTGTAAAATATACTATTTAACACATTTGACATTATATCTAACCATCTCTATTCCTTGTTCATAGGTTATTGCTGAATGTCTTTCCGAGGAGGAAATTGCAGGACTTAAAGAAATGTTTAAAATGATAGACGTGGATAATAGTGGACAAATCAGCTTGGAAGAACTGAAAATTGGCCTGGAAAGAGTGGGATCCAATCTCAAGGATTCAGAAATAACCAGTCTGATGCAAGCTGTAAGTGCGGAATGGTTATCCTTTGAGAGCCCTTTTTCTCTTATTATTAGCAGACTAGTTGCATTATGAAAGTTCTCTGACATTTAACCAAAAACCCAGCACCATTTGTCTCGTAGTTATTAAAGTCGTCGTTTATGATAAAAGTAGCAAACGGACGGAATGAGTTTGTAGACCGTCAGTTAAATTGCTATAAATAATGTGCAAATCATGGTAAATAATTTTCCTCTTTCCCCACTCCCCTTCCCCATCCCTTAGATATTGGGCAACCTTGTACTGCTCCTTAATTGGTTACTGAAATGGACTTCCAGAAATTTAGACACTGACAAAAATGGCTTGTGCAGAAGTTTGCAAGGCACAGTTTGTAGCCATGGACAAGCTCTTCATTTACATATTGACGAAACTGAGTAGTTTAGTTTATACTTGGATAACACCATTCTTTGAAGTTTTAAGTGCATGTTTCACATTGAAAGTACCTTACGCTTTTGTTGTAACATTTATAAACTCGCATAACCTCATCTTGGCAATTGCTAATCTAAATTTAAACGTTGTCCTTAACGATTATCTGGATATGAGATCCTCTTTTAATTTTCGTTGAGAATCTCATTTTTCCCCCTTAATCTTCCTGATAATGCAGGCCGATGTTGATAACAATGGAACCATAGATTACAAAGAGTTTGTAGCAGCAATGCTCCATCTAAACAAAGTTCAGAAAGAGGATCACATGTTCGCCGCTTTTTCATATTTCGACCAAGATGGGAGTGGATACATCACCCATGATGAGCTTCAACAAGCTTGCGAGAAATTTGGTATCGGAGATGTTCAACTAGAAGAAATCATCCGTGAAGTCGATCAAGATAATGTATATTCTCAATCTTTTCCTCTAAGCATATTTGAACTTGTTTGTGTAGATCTTTATGGATATAGATACTTGAAACTTGAAAAAAAATAAAAATTCTATTTTAATTTTTTTCCCTCTCCAGGATGGTCGAATTGATTACAGTGAATTCGTGGCCATGATGCAAGATACTGGTTTTGGAATAAAGGGATTGCAAAAAATATGAAGCACGGGGGCTAGGAAATGCTCTTAAGGGCTATCATAGTTGAAAAGAGAACAAATAAAGATTTTTGCTTAAAGGTGGTTTATTGAATTCGTGGCCATTATGTGTGGTATTTTTTTTGCTCAAAAGGTGGTTTATTGAATTGGAACTTTTAAAGATTTTTGTGTACTTTTTAAATGATAGATTTTGTAGAATTTATGAACTTTTATAGATATGTATGAAATTAATGAAAGTTATTCATAGACTTTTATACACTTTTATTTTAAAACTTCTACGAACATTTAGAATATAATTGACTTTTGAAGACTTCAATTGAAAATAGAATTTACTTGAGGCCTTTTTGAACCCTATTCTTGTGCAAAATGCATTTCGGAATAGTAAATCGATAAAGAATGTGTATTTAAAATGAACGAAAATTTTTGGGTTACGTGTAATATTATTTTATTGAATAATATGTGATTGAAAAATAAGAGAGAAAAAAATGTATTTTGAGAAAAATGAGAATCAAATAAATATTTAAGTCTACAAGGAGGTAGAGGTTCAATTTCAACCAATCCCTTCCCCATTTTTCAAATAATAAAATATATTTTTAATCTAAGTCACCTTAATTAAATAAATAAATAATCAAAATACAAAGGCAATAATAATAATAATATATTAAAACTTAATTATAAATTAGTATTTTTTTACAAAATCTTATAAATTTTAATTACACTCGAACTTCTTCATAAAAAAGTAGGATTAAAAAAGTAAAATATGTTATAAGAATTTATTAAATTATAAATTAATTTTTCAATAGAATATGGGGAGAAACAATAAGAGAGAAAAAAATGAAAAGAGAACAAATATAATTGGTGTAAAAGAAGAAAAAAAAAAAATCACGACTTTGTAGTGAAGAGGTAGAATACATATCGAAAAAAAAATTGTGAAGAACTCTGAGAATCTTCGGGTGCATGAAAGAAAAAGTAAAAAATGTTATAAGAATTTATTAAATTATAATTTAATTTTTTACGTGGAACATGGGAGAATCAATAACAGAGAGAAAATGAAAAGAGAACAAATTTAACCAGTGGAAAAGAGGGAAAAAAAAATTAATCATGACTTTGTAGTGAAGGTAATATACATATTGAAAAAAATCTATTGCGAAGAATTCTGAGAATTTTAGGGTGCATGAAAGATAAATTTTGATATTTTGCCTTTGCGTAGTCTCCATTTCATTCTAAAATGTAATTTTTTTTTCAACCGCACATTATTCAATAAAATAATATTACACATAGATCAAAAAAAATTTTTTAGCCCATGTTTGGTATCGATTAAATCTAGATTTTAACTTAAGTTAAAATCAACAATAAATATTAACCACATATTTTATGAGTCCTACACATTTTTTTAAATTCTATCAAAATTTACTAAAAATCTGATTTTAATCCCTATCAATTAGGGACTTAATCACATTCTCCAAAAAATCACTATTCCAAAATATATTTAATCCTAAAAACTAAGTTTAATTGAGCACAAACACGGGCTTTGTTTTTGCACCTTCTATCTTCAAAATTAGTACTCTAGAAACTTTTATAAAAGTAAGTCATTGATATTTATAATACTCCATAATTTATAGATACTTCTAGAAGTTTTATTAAATATACAGTGAGCATACTGGTTACGAACGTTTCTTAGTGTATTGATTTTGAGAGTTTACGAGTGATTCGATTATGAGTTATTTTAGTAGCGATTTTTAAAATAATTCAACTCATACTTGATAGTTTATTATCTACAGGTTCTGAAAGTCTTTTTTAAAAATTAAGTTGCATATATGTCCCATGGAGAAATTTTCAATTTTTGATTTTTTGTATGAAAACTTTTACTTATAAGTGATATTTTACTTATACATACAAGTTAATATATAACTTAAAAAGTTAAATAAAATTAAATACCTACTTAAAATTTCATGTTTGTATTTTTAGTTATAAATAAACTTTATAATTATAAGTTAATTTTGTACGTTTAATATTTTTTACACAAAAGTGAATTTTTTACTTATAAGTAAGCTTTTATATTTTATAAAGTGATTTTTGTCTTATTAGTAATATTTTTACTCAAAAAACAATTTTTTATCTTGTAAGTAAAATCTTATTTATAAATGATTTTAAATTATAATATAATTTTTAAGTTAGTATATTAGTATTAAATAAAGTTTGTTGATTTAAAATAATTATTTTATAAAGAGTAAAATTTGAAGAGAATTTGAGAAATGACAAAAAATTGTCAATTGTGCGGATTGAGATAACCGATCAAAATTACACCACATCATTTTTGGATGATTTTTAAACTATCCACAATCGGTGCCCAAAATACTAGCAAGAACCGCTTCTTCCAACCCCTCATAAACTGTTCCACTCAAAATCGATCATAACTGATAAAAATAAAACTCTCAAAGAAGCCCTTAAAGACTTCTTAAAAAGTCTCCATTGAACATATACTTTTATAGAGTATACTAAGTCTTTGCTAAATATCTATAACGTGCAACTTTTTAGGAAATTCAAACATATGCATAATGTTGAAATTCTAATATATTAATTTCCTAATGTGAGGAAATTGCATTTCGTGTATTTTTGTATTTCCTTTTATGCATTTGTCCCTTGATTGATTTGATTTATAGAATTATGCTAAACATATTAAATATAAAATTCTTGAAACAACCGGAAAGTAGAAAAGGTCAAAATTTTGTAGATAATAATTTTATTGTATTGAAAATATTATTTAAAAGTGCAAAAAACCTTTGTTTATATAATTAAAATAATTATCTAATCTTACCGGTACAAGTAAACTAAACAATATTACTAAAGTGAAAGAAAACTAAAGTCCTAAAATGGAAACAAAATCCTAATTTAAAAGGAAACAAAAATTCTACTATAATAATAAACGTCTTCACATCATTCTCCCATGCTTGAAGAAAACTTGTTCTTGAATGTGATCAAAGAATAGAAAATCAATTAACTAGGAGAAAAATACTAAAAAATTTATGTCGATACTAATATTGATGAAATGATTATCTCTTGATTACTTGATAAAAGTAGTTATATTCCTTACTTACGTTATTTGAAGTCAACTTTGCTCGATATATTTTCTTATGGATACTTCCAATGTGACAATCCTTCATAAACGAAGTATGACTCAATTTTTCATCATTGAGTCATCCATAGAGCCCATTAGAATTATTTTCAATTCTTGAAACTTCTCATCTTCTGCTATAATGTTTAGTGATATTTTCTTTGATACAAAAAAGTAGCATGTGGGACTCAAATTCACACAATCCATATTTACCTTATGCTTATGCAATTCTTTTGCATTGAGATCATAGAGAACGTTAACGAAACTTTTATTCTTAATAGGACAAGCCTCACATTTGATTCATTCGTCATTGGAAAGTTCAATTCCATTTCTTTGTGTCGAACACTTCTGAATTCTAACTTGTTCTTCGTCAAAATGTGGTTTGATATTGCGGTCTTCATTTGTAATTTCACTGGGATGTTTTCCTTCTCTACATTGGTATTCATTATCAATTTTCATTTATTGGGATCAACAGTCCTCGAGTTTTGAACTTGCACGTGCTTTTCCACTTCTATTGTAGTATCATGATTGGCAACATCTTGGTCATCTTGAACGACATATTTGTCAACCTCACAATTTGCCTTATAAATCTTTTGCTATTTGTTTAGATTTGGCATTAACAAATTGCTCCAAGTGGCAACACAAAAATCTTCTAACTGTACCACTAAAATACGTTCATGTTATCTTTTCATATATAAGTGGCATTTAAGTCATAGTACCATTGTTGTACAATTGTACATGTCATTTGTCCATTTTGTCACGTTATACACAATCTCACTTTGTAGTACTTTCCAATACGAAGTGGAATTGCACATTACTACATATTCCGAATTTCATGCTTTTTAACTAGTGAAGCTTAATGGTAGGATGAGTATTTTTTCGTATTCAAATTTAAAGCTTTCACTAATACTTTAGATATTAGGTATCATCACTCCCATAGTTTATCATCACGTTGCATATCTCTCAAGAAAAGCTAGAAAGTGGAGAGATTTGTATTCTTTAAATTGTTTCCAGAAATCAACTAGATCCATCCTTACCAAAGGGTTGTTAAGCACCCCTTTTGAGTCCATTTTAAGCAAGCTGGGAACGAAAACATTTCCGAGCTAGCTTCAGGGGAATGTCGAAATTTTGTCGTATTAATTTCCTAGTATAAGGAAATTGCATTTAGTGTAATTTTGTATTTCTTATTGTATGCATGTGGCCATTGATTGTAGTGATTTGATATCCTATAGTTATGCTAGACTCATTAAGTAGGAGTTATCATTGACCCTAGTATTAGGCCTAAATATATAGTTTCCTAGAAGGGTTACGCTATATGTACCGAATTTTTATATCAAATCTTTTACACCCCACTCACATTAGGAGGTGGGGACAACAAGCAAGAATTTTTAAATACACATGGGGCCCGCGAGCATTGTGAGAGGGATGACACCATTCGGTACCCCCATTCGGTACATTTAGACTAATTTTTCCTAGAATAGATTATTACTTGTGTGTATAAACCTACATAATCTCAATAGTTCGTTATCAATGTAGAATCAAATTTTTTTACATATAACATTATCAAAAAATATGTAGTATGTCAATTTATGTTTGTCCGAATGTAATTTGTGCTTTTAATATAAACATGCCTTTTATTATCAAGCAGGTTGCTAGTATGAGAGGTAACTGACCTAGCAATAAGAGCATTTCTAATCGTGGTGTAAAATAGATCTAAATTGTGATTTAAATTTTCAAAGTGAATGAAAACCTTTCCAAGGAGATATGCAAAAGAAATGCAAATTGTATTTTGTCGGCAAAAATATACATCCACAAGAGACAAAAAGTAGATTCAAATCTTTCCGTTGAAACAAAAATTGAATTTAGATCAATCGAGATATAAATAAGGATTC